TGTAAATTTTGGTCAATGACATGAGACAAAGTATGTGAACTGCTGTATGAAAAGTGAATTTACTCTGTAAATCTTCACCCAAATCCTAATTAAAAAAAAAAAAGAGTCATAACTTAGACTATCATGCAGGACTGGTTGATAATAGCCCTGACCACAGACACTCAGAGTGCTTCGTAGTTGATGATAGCATCTGCTTTCAAGAGAGGCTAGCACATCCTTTGGAACATGGATGCTTCAAGTTGGACATCCTCCTAGACCTTGCCCCATGAATCTTTTTATTTGTATTCTTTTTTTGGTTATAATAAATCTGTAATCGTAAGTATGGTACACTATGTATGAGTTCTGTGAGTTGTTCTAGCCAATTATCACATCAAAAAGACAACGGGAGCCAGTAGGTCAGAAAGTAAGTGTGTAATGTGGACTCCTGAAGTCCAGTTCACATCCTGAAGAGGTACTGGGAAACAAGCCTCAAATTTGTTGTCAACAAGTCAGAAGGTTGGGGTGTCATATAGGTCCCTAAACCTGCAGATGCCTATTTGGTCTGAAGGACAGTATCATTTTAACTTGTGAGTTTGACCTAGGCCCAGGTGGCTAGGGTCAGAGAGAATGTGGGGACAGCTGGCAGCAAGGATAGGGAAGTGACAACAGGATCAATCTCCACATTTTGTGGATTCGATTTGTGTTGATCTTACTGTGCACTTTAGTAGACAGAATAATGGCCACCACCAATGATGCCCATGCCCTAATCCTTGCAACATGGCAAAATGGTCTTTGCACTGCTTAGTAATATAAGGAATCTAAGCAATTATGGCAAAAGTGATTTTGCAGATGTGGTTAGGTTAAGAACTTTGAGATGGGGAGATAAAACTTTATTATCCAATCTAATCACTTGAGTCCTTAAAAGCAAAGGACTTTTCTCAGCTGTGTTAGCAGGATATGTGACTATGGAAGAATGATCAGAGGAATGCAACAATACTAGCTTTGAATTGAAGAAAGGGCCTACTCAAGGAATGTGAGTGGGCTTTGTTGTTGTTAGGTGCTATCAAGTTGTCTCCAACTCATAGCAACCCTATGTGCAACAGAACGAAACACTGCCTAGTCCTGTGCCAACCTCACAATTCCTTCTGTACCTGAGCCCATCATGCAGCCACTGTGTCAATCCATCTCGTTGAGGGCCTTACCCTTTTCCATTGACCCTCCACTATACCAAGCATGATATCCTTCTCCAGGGAATGGTCCCTTCTGACAACATGACCAAAGTTGATGAGATGAAGTTTGGCCATCCTTGATTCCATGGAGCATTCTGGCTGCATTTCTTTCAGGACAGATTTGTTAGTTCTTTTAGCAGTCCATGGTACTCTTAGTATTCTTCACCACTAAGCAGGCTTTAGGAGCTGGGAAATTCAAGGAAATGGATTCTCCTCCAGAGCCTCCAGAAAAGAACATAGCCCTACTGACATCTTCATTTTAGCCCAGTGAGACCCTTGTTGGACTTCTAACCTCATTGTCATTTATGCAAATGGGAATATTTATGACACCTTGAAATGCACCATCAAGCATAGCATCAGTGTTATACTTCACACAGCATCAAATATTTCTGTACATTGGAAAGGAGGGAGTAGAGATTTGCGTTTGACAGATATTTGTATACAATAACAGTTATTTAATTATTGGCAGAGCTATCTCATATTATAAAGTAGAAAAAAGATAAAACAGAATTATACTTTTCTACTCATCTGTTTCTAAGTGCAATCTGACCAGGATCTGTTTCATAGCATCTCATAATTCACCATGGTACATCTCAGTTTATGAGATTACAATGAGTCGGGGCCAACTCGACGGCATATAACAACAACAACAACAACAAGGATGAAGCAGAGCTCACTGTTCTCATGTGTTTTCAACATCTAAAAATGGCTTTCATAGCAGTTTCCAGATTAGCATTTTTACTATTGTTTCTATAGATTGCAAAATTGGGGAATCTTCTAGAGTCAAAAGAAGACCATTGCAACAGACTCATTGAAGAAAATGACAAGTATCACAGACATGTAGGCACCTTAATAAATAAGGTACAAATTTTCTTACAAAAATATTTGTCTTTTAACAAGTATACCAAATATAAAAGTAACAGGACTGGAGCTAAAAAGGATCTAAGGGATGATGTAACACATTTATATTTATCCCTTTTACATCATAATAACATTATAAAATGTCCCTATTAGCCATGCAGCTGAAACCTAGCAAAGAACATTATGTCTGTCCATTCTGCTGTGAACAATTTAAAGTTTTAATACTGCTACCTAATTTCCAGGGTAATTGTAAATCTTGTCAACTTAGTGTTATAGTTTACTTTTTAAAAAACTGTATTGATTTTAACCAAATGGACTAAACTATTTCTGAAATATTAAAATGGCATTTCTTAAGCATTACATTTTTGTGTGTGGAAGATAACAGGATTCCTGGACAGAATGAGAGAAAAATGTAGAACAAAATTCAAAATCATAAAAAAAGACTTACTTACTGCTCTGACAGGGACTAGTGGAACCCCTGGGACTGTAGCCCTTACACACCCTTCAAACCTGAAACTGACCCCCCTACAATGAATCACCTTGCAGTCAAATAATAGAGTGGCCTATATAGTGAACAATACCACTCATGAGGAACATACTCCTCAAAATAATCAACCATATAAAGACCAAAAGGACAGCATTTGCCCAAAACAAAGCTCAGAAGGCAGGAAGAGGCAGGAAGGAAGGACAAATGGAATCAGGAAACCCAAGGAGGAACTGGGAAGAGTGCTGTTACAACGAGGGAATTGTAACTAATGCTACAAAATGTTTATAAATTGTTGAATGGAAAACAATTCACTAATAAACTTTCACCCAAACCACAATACAAAGAAAAGAAAAACTCTATGAGGGCAGTTCTGCTCTGTATTGTGTGGTCACTGTAGGATTGCCATGACAGAATCCACTGCATGGCACACAGTGAGAAAAGGGAGGAGGGGAAGACAATTGGATTATATATAGTCGACACACTACAGTTAACTATTTCTTGGCACTTTTTCTTCATAATTAATAGGCACATTATAATTCTATTTTTCCCTCACATTCCTGACCTCAAAATATAAGGAACTTTGAGATACACATAAACCTCATTGATGGGAGTCACAGAATTGCACTTTTTTTGTAGAGATTTTTTTTAAAAAAGCAAAAAATAAATAGAATTGAAGAAAAATTCTAGACTTTATCAGAGAATCATTTTTAGCTTATTTTTTTCCCCAAGGTTACATCATATGAAGAAATTATCAAGTGTGCCGACCAAAGGCTTGAGATATCCCACTCCCAGATTGCACAGTAAGTTGAAAAAGCTTAAAATAATCTTTAATTTTAGAAACATTTACAAACATTTGTTTGACTTTTCTCTTTGGCTTGCTAAATTCATTTGCTCAGATTCCTTGAATGAGGGAAAGTCTGCAGTATTATAAATTAAGATCATTCTTCATTAATTAAGCTACTCTGCTTAATGTCTGGGCTGGAGTGTTACACACTTCCTTTCTCAGAGACCCCATTTGATTTCAAAGGGTTGTGAAAGCATTAGTGAGAATCATCCAAAAATTTTAGAGGATAGTATCATGGTATCCAAGGACTATAGAAGTCCCGAGTGGTACAGTTAACACAATCAGCTGCTATCTGAAAGGTTTGAGGTTCAAGTCTACCCACAGGCACCTTGAAAGCAAGTCCTGGTGATCTATTTCTAAAATTCAGCCATTGAAAACCCCACAGAGCATAGTTCTACTCTGATACACATGGGATCACCATGAGTCCAAACTGACTCAATGGCAACAAGGGTTTAAGTAAGATAGCCTTGCAATGCTTAGAATTTACTCACAGAAAGTTATTCAATATGCCCGGGTACCAGTACCAAACCCTTGGAAAGGAATCAAAACTGGAGATCCTGGATAGAATGGGTGAAAAAATATGGAACAAAATTCAAAATGACAAAAATGACCAGAATTACTGGCCTGATAGAGTCTGGTTAAACTCCCATGACTGTGGCCCTGGGTTACCCATCGGGCCTAGAAATGGACTCACTCGCATGGATTGGCTCTCAGCCCACCACTAGAAAGACCTACATGCAGAACACCTGCCCCAGGGTGATGCACCCACCTACTCTAGGGAGATGCACCCCTTAGAGCAATCAGCCATGAGACACTGGAGGGGCAACACTCACATAGAGGGAAAGCTGGACAGACAGGAATGCACAGTCAAGAGGGGCACAGGAAGGGAAGGGAAGGGAGGAGAGTTTTTTATGGTTGGGGATGGTAATCAGGGCATGAAATCAAAAAGAACAAAAAGAGATGGTTATTGAATGTACACCAAATTAAGCATATCCAAACAAAGCACTAATGAAGAAGAAAAGCAAAAGAGGTGGTCTCACACTCCCTGATCTTAAAACCTACTACATAGCTATGTAGTCAAAACAGCCTATTATTATTGGTACAATGATAGACACATAGACCAGTGGAATAGAATTGAGAATCCAGCAGTATATACATGCATCCACAGACAACTGATCTTTGACAATGGGCAGAAACCCATTAAATGGGGGAGAGATGGCCTCCTTAACAAATAGTGCTGGAAAAATTGGATATCCATTTGCAGCAAAAAGAAACAAGATCCGCACCTCACACCATACATAAAAACTAAATCAAGATGGACCAAAGACTTAAATGTAAAACCCAAACTATAAAGTTCATCAACGATAAAATACAGGAAAACCTAGACACCCTAATTTATGGCATAAATAGACTATCAAGCATAACACAAAATGCACAAATAACAGAAGACAAACTGGATCACTGGGACCTTTTAAAAATTAAATTCCTATGCACATTGAAAGACTTCTCCAAAAGAGTGAAAAGAGACCCTATACATTGGGAAAAACAATATTTGGCAATGACATATCCATCAAAGGACTTAACTCTAAAATTTATAGGCTACTTCAACATCAAAAAAGACAATCCAATTCAAAAATTGGCAAAGGACATGAACAGCCACTTCACCATAGAAGATATTCAGGCAGCCAACAAACACATGAAGAAATGCTCATCATCATTAGCCATTGTTGATTGTTGTTGTTAGGTGCCATCAAGTCATCTCCAACTCATAGTGAGCCTATGTACAACAGAATGAAACACTGCCTGGTCCTGTGCCAGACTCACAGTCTTTGCTATGCCTGCACCCATTGTTGTAGCCATGGTGTTAATCCATCTTCTTGGGGGACATCCCCTTTTTCACTGACCCTTCACCTTACAAAGCATGATATCCTTCTCCAGAGAATGGTCCCTTCTGATCATATGACCAAAGTAGGTGAGACAAAGTCTGGCCATTCTCACTTAAAAGGAGCATTCTGGCTGCACCTCTTCCAGGAAAGATGTGTTAGTTCTTTTAGCAGTCTATGGTACTTTCAGTATTCTTCGCCAACACCACAACTCAAAAGCATCAACTCTTCTTCAGTCTTCCTTTTTCATTGTCCAGCTCTCACATGTATATGAGATGATTTAAAATACCATGGCTTAGGTTAGACGCACTTTAGTCCTCAAGGAGACATCTTTGCTTTTCAGTACTTCAAAGAGGTCTTTTGCAGCAGATTTGCCTAGTGCAATACATCAAGTGATATCTGGACTCCTGCTTCCACTGATGTTGATTGTAGAACCAAGCAATATGAAGTTTTTGGCAACTTCAACCTTTTCTCCATTTATCATGATACTGCTTATTGGTCCAGTTTTGAGAATTTTTGTTTTCTTTATATTGAGGTGTAATCCATACTGCAGATTGTAGTCTTCAATCTTCATCAGTAGGTGCGTCAAATCATCCTCACTTTCAGCAAGCAAAGTTGCATCATCTGTGTGTCACAGATTGTTAATGAGTCTTCTTCCGAGCCTGATGCCATGTTCTTCTTCATATAGTCCAGTTTCTTGGATTATTTGCTCAACATACAGATTGAATAAATATGATGAAAGGATACAACCCTGGCACATTCCCTTCTGATTTTAAACCATGCAGTGTCCCCTTGTTCTGTTTGAATGACAGCCTCCTGGTCTATGTACGGGTTCCTCATGAGTATAATTAAGTGTTCTGGAATTCCCATTCTTCTCAATGGTATCCATAATTTGTTATGATCTATGCAATCAAATGCTTTTGCATAGTCAATAAAACATAAATAAACATCTTTCTGGTATTCTTTGCTTTCAGTGAAGAGCCATCTGACATCAGCAATGACATCCCTCGTTCCATGTCCTCTTCTGATTCTAGCTTTCATTTCTGGATGTTCTCTGTCAATATACTGTTGCAACTATTTTTGAATTATCTTCAGAAAGATTTTACTTGTGTGTGATATTAATGATATTGTTCAATAATTTTCACATTCTGTGGGATCACCTTTCTTTGGAATGGATACAAATATGGATCTCTTCCAGTCAGTTGGCCAAACCCCTTGGCATAGCTGAGCAAGTGCCTCTAGCAAGGCATCCATTTGGTGAAGCATCTCAGTGGGCACTCCATCAATTTCTGGAGCCTTGTTTTTTGGTTATTTTTTTAATTTTTTTTTTTTTATTGTGATTTGGGTGAAGATTTACAGAGAAAATTAACTTTCTATACAGCAGTTCACATATACTTTGTCTCATGTCATTGCCCACAGTTTACCACAATGCAACAGCTCCCCTCCCACTTCTTCCCCATAGTTACCTCTTCCCAGTGTCCATCTCACCATGGATTCCTGCCCCCTGAGCTGTCTCCCTGTGCATAGGCAGCCCTTCTTTCTCAATGATTGTTCTCTCCAAGGAGTTCAACTCATATGTCTGTCTTCTGTTTGGCTGGAAACCACAGGTGTGGGTTCAATTGCAGCCTTGTTTTTTTGCCAATTCCTTAAGTGCAGCTTTGACTTCTTCCTTCAGTACCATTGATTCTTGATCATATGCCACTTCCTGAAATGGATAAACATCAACCAATTCTTTTTGGTACAGTGACTCTGTGTATTCTTTCCACCTTTTTTGATGTTTCCTGCATCAGTCAACATATTGCCCGTAGAATCTTTGTGTGTGTGTGTGTGTCTGTGTGTGTGTGATTTGGGTGAAAGTTTACAGAGCAAATTCACTTTCTATACAGCAGTTCACATACACTTTGTCTCATGACATTGACTACAATTCAACACAATGCAACAGCTCCTCTCCCACTTACTCCCCATAGTTACTCTTCCCTGTGTCCTTCCCTCCATGCATTCCTATCCCTTGCACTGTCTCCCTGTGCACACACAGCCCTTCTATTCTCCCATGATTGTTCTCTCCAAGGAGTGTATCTACCAAGTGTAAATGTTCAGCTCATATGTTTGTCTTTTGTTTGGCTGGAAGCCACAGGAGTGAGTTCAATTCCAGACCTGAAGGGCAGTTAGGGGCCATAGTCTCAGTGATTCCATCAGGCTCTATCAGACCAGCAAACCTGCCCCCCTTTTTTTCCAAATGATTTTGAGTTTTGTTCCACATTGTTCTCCCACTCTATGCAGGATCTCCTATATAGATCCCCCTCCAAGTGGTTGACAGTGGTAGCAGGCACCATCTAGTTCTTCTGGTCTCATAGTCATGCAGGGTGAGGATCGCATGGTGTAGCAGTCATTTGGACTAATTGTTTCCATGAATCTTTGGTTTTCATCATTCTTCTTTGCTCTGGATGAGGAGAGACCCATTGTTAAAGCTAGAAGGCTGCTTGCCAAAGTAGGAGGTGGAACACTGTTTTGTGTAGTGTGTTATGGCAATTGAGCTTGATGTCCCGTGCAACTATGGTCCCAAGCCCACAGGTCCAACTACTCACTCCCTCTGGTTAGCTGCCTGTGCCCAAGAAGTGACTGCAAACTTGTCCCTTGTCAGCTCTACTATACACCTGGGAATTCTTACAGAACATACAAATACACTTGTAGAACCATAGAATCTTTCAATATTGCAACTTGAGGCTTAAATTTTTCCCCTCCATTCTTGTAGCTTGAAATGGGAATAGTGCCTAAGGCATTTGACTGCTAACCAGAAGGTTGGTGGTTCAAACCCACCAGCTACTCCATGGAATGAAGAATGCCAATCTACTTCTGTAAAGATTTACCACCTTGGAAACCCAAAAGGGGTCACCATGAATCTGAATCTACTGGATGGCAGTGAGTTTGAGTTTCATTAGCCATTATAGAGATGCAAATCAAAACAACAATGAGATATCATCTGACCCCAGCAATAATAGCAAAGTTCAACAAGACAGAAAACAACAAATGCTGATGAAGATGTGGGGAGATTGGAACTCTCATACACTGCTGG